GGGCCTTGAAGTGTTACATTTTACAAACCTAAATTTAAGATAAAATGGATAATTGAGTACATTAAAAATAAAGATAATGTGTGGCATATATTTCCCAATTTCATATTTAATTCTCTTGGTGGCATTCATTTTCTTTTAAAAAAAATTGTTTTTTCTATTGATAAAATCCCTATTAAATTGGCAAGCTTTCATAAGCAGGCATTGCTGGCTTGGCAATTAATCTATAAGCACAATTTTACACCACATTGGTATTTTCTGTGGAATAATAGATATGGCTTATATTTAAAAAATAAAATAATAGAATTAGTCTTTTCTGTGTGCTGAATGGCACGTAGTGCACTAAATAGGGAATATGCTTTCCATTGAGTCTGATCCGGTCTAGAGACCCGATAGCGCGGACTCGGAGCGGAGCATATTCGAGTCGCGCATACCACAAAATGTATCGGACCCATTTGAATTCTACACAGAATGCTCTATTTTATAGCGATTTGGATCAGATTAGGAGGAGACACGGTTAGACAAGCGGCACTAACGAGTAGAAGAGATAACACCGGTGCCCTGCACCAACATGACACAACTTTCAAACTATACATCCTCAGCATCAGCATCACTGTTTTGCGTTACTTCAGTGGACCTTTAAACTCAGCGCTCGCAGCGCGTTAATTCTTACCTCTGCGTGTGTTGTCGAATAAATGGATTTAGTCTGATCGCAAAGAGTCAGTGTGCTTTGATGCATTGGCCGTTTGCCCCGTGTGCACGGTGCCGGTGTGCAGGTGGGACGCTCTTTGATTGAGGTCATTTGATGACTGTCTTCACCATATCCCAAAGACACAACTGCAGCGCTTCTCCTTAGAGATGACACGACTCTATAAAACGAATTTGAAAACCACTGTATTTTCGCTTGCCACCTTTCTACTAGGACTCGATATCACTGCGATCCTCATCCTCATATAGGCCTACCAATTTTCGGTTGTTTCACAACGGGCGCTAGTAGCAACGCCACAACAATAGACTTTTATCTGAAAGTACAAGCGTAAGAACGAATTTACATGCAAGTACTATTCTCAATATTTAAATAATAACAATAACCTAGGAGATATCTAAAAGAGGGGACAATATTAGGAAACACTAAATTATGAAGAAAAACTGACATAACAAATAATAATTCTAATAAATTATCTTGGTTAAATTAAAGTTAATCAATTAAAGGATATTGGTTAGACATCACCAGAGTGAATTTGGGTAACATTAAAGCCATTCTGTGTGAATTACAGGGGAGTAACAGATTTCTGTAATCTGTTATGTTGTGTTGTCAGAGTCGGTGACCTTGCTGTATCTATAGGTTAAAAATGTAGGCCTATCATTTTTCTTAATCACAAACTAGAGGTATATTTTGCAGAATTACACAATGTTATCACACTTATGCTATCACTTGTAATCACATTCAGCAATTTCTCTAAAGAAAAAGATAAAGATCAGTTTCTTTGCTGTCACATTTAATTCCAACCCAGACAAAAATAATATCCTAACAGGCTTTACCACAGTCCGAGAACATCTTTGACTGAAAATCAGTGTTAACAGAAATCTCCAGTTGTCTTCCTAAACGGGATCTCATATAGGCTACCGATTATTTGAGCAAAATTAAGCATGTCCACAAACACTTTTGACATGTCTGTGTTTGAATGGTTCTAAAAATACATGCTTCTATACTGTACATGTTAAAAAGCCAATGGGAAAACTTAGCCTACAGAATGTCATCTTTAAATTCTACCCACTCCGGCACATATGATTTACTAGATATGAATAACAGCACTTTTAGAGTTCCATCCCTCTATTTTATGTCAGAATAAGTACAATTGACAGTACTATTGAGTGAAACAATTGACAGTTGTTCATAAATGATCAAGTGTTTTTTTATTGGATTAACTGATCAGGGATCACACATACTTTTGACAAAATCTTTGTATTTTATAATGTACAATGAGCACACAGACATTAGTGGCCATGCTTAAAAGATTCAGAAGAGATTCAATAAACTAGTTTGAATGAATCTACGATATTCAAAAATAACTAACCATGCTCAAACTAGACTGATTTTTTTACAGACTTAAATATTTCCACAGCTAAAAGTGCCATATTTCCTTTGATATATTCACTCACAGTATAAGTAATTGAGCTCATCTGACACAACTTTCATTCAAACTGAACACAAATGCTGTGTGCTTTGAGAACACTGCTTTTTTCTATAATAGAGTAGACCTTTAGCTTTGAGGACATTGAGGGCAAGTGTGCAGCTTCTTTTCTTTGTGACTTAATATGTGCCTCTTAAAGTTTCCTTTATGTGGGAATCTCTTTCCACACTAAGAGCATGTGAAAGGTCTCTCTCCAGTGTGAATTGTCCCACACTGTGCAGTTTTTCATGCGTTTTCAGGCTTCCTGACTGGGCGAAACTCTTTTCACAATATGAGCACTTGTAGGGTCATTCTCTTGTATATGGACTCTATGGTGTTTTATCAACTAACGTTAGTTGGCTCTACTAAAGGCTTTTCCACATTCACAGCACATTCACAGTTTTAACACCCTCATGTGTTTTCTGGTGCCTTTTAAAAGAGTCAATACATACAAATCTCTTTGCACAAGCATAACAGTCATAAGGTTTCTCTTTTGTATGAACATTCAAGTGTTTCTTTAGGTGTGACGCTAAAGTAATTTTTTTATTGCAGTGATCAGTTAAATTCCTGTAGTGAGTGATAGCGGTGCAGATGATATTTGAGACTGCTTGCCCATGTGAAACTCTTTCCACACTGATTACACACATAGGGCTTTTCTTTAATGTGAATTCTCATGTGAGTTTCGGCTTGAGATTTATTTATGAATTTGTTTTCACAATGAGGGCAAGTGAAAGGCTGGCCAACTTAAATAGCGCACTACCGCCACCTACTGTTAGCATGAACCAGACACACGATACCCTTCATTCAATTGCTTTTATTACAGTACATTAAAGGGGTCATATGATGCTTTTTTAAAGATCATTATTTTGTGTATATAATATGTTGATATGCTTTAATGTTCAAAAAACACATTACTTTTTCAAATACTGTACATTATTGTAGGTCCTCTATGCCCCGCCTCTCTCAAACGCTTAGTTTTCTACAAAGTCCCTCCTTCCGACAAGCGCAGTCTGCTCTGATTGGCCAGCAGACCCAGTGCATTGTGATTGGCCGAACACAGCAAGCAGTGATGGAGCTGGTATGTGTTTGCAGTACACAAGCCACGGTTAAGACAGCTGACTCCACTGTGATGTGATGTGACCCTGTCTCTCTCTCTCTCACACACACACACACACACACACACTCACACACGCGATGCGCAAAACTCCACATTTGAACAGTTAATAGCAAATACTTAAGCTAATAACAAAACAGTAGCTGATTCAGAAGCGCCAGATTGTCATAGCAAAGTCAGAATTACCTCCTCTCCTAGGTTCACGAAACGGTCTTCCATAAAATGCATTGCTGTTCTGTTGTAAGTAATCTTAAAGATTCCTAAATGCATCTACTTTCGGAAGGCCAAATAAAGTGCTTTTGCTTTCGCCTAGAAGCACACAGCGTCTCCCTGATGTGGCTGCTTCAACACTAACTGCGGTTACTGAAACCACGCCTTCTTTCTTTGCGTGCACATTTAGGCGGCATTATGCAAATATTCCCACATAGTGAGGTAGATATGTGGGGGCGTGTTAGAACGAGCCGTTTTAGGGGGGCATGGCAGAGTCTTAACTTTGATAAAGAATATCTCTTTGGTTTTGAGACTTTAGTCTTTGCAACTTCAGGGATCTTATCTATGCACAATCAGCTTGTAACACTCCAAAGAGAAAGGAAAACTTGAAATCACATCATATGACCCCTTTAAACATTTACAAACACGAGTAATACTGTGTAACATGCTAAAGAGTATGAGTAATCATATTTTGTAAATACATGAATTTTCATATTTACTTCTATAAAAGAGCAGCACCAAAAGAAAAACAAAAAATAAAGAAAAACAAAAATAAGTGAAAGGAATAAAATGAAAGTATCAATAAGAAAGTCACATTTAAATTGCATGCGTTTCTTTCTTTTTTTTTCTTTTCTTACATGCTTTAGAATCTAATTTGAATGCTTAGCATATTCTTTTCTATACAGCTAGTTAGTCTTTGAATTTGATTGAATCAGCAGCAAGGTTTGTATATATTTTTGACCAGGACAATTTATCTTTGGAATAAAATTAATACAAAAATTAATTAAGCACAAAAATGCTTGTTTTTTAATGTATTCCTCTAGGCGTCTATACTGTATATGCTTGGCCCTTTCTAAATATATTATATATCTATAGACCTTATGTGTCAGAGAAACAAGTGCACAGCAATCTTTAGATTTTTTTCTTTGATCTTCTGTTTTTGCAGTAGCTATATTGCATCACTGTTAGAGTAATTATCTGAAGTGGATTTACTTATTGTAGAGTTATTAACATGTTATCACGTGCATTGTAATGTTCGAAGCGGATGTGGTAACAAATGTCGGTTGAGCGGGAAGATTTTAAAACGAGCGGTTCATTCATAAATTCGTACGAGCCATACCTTCACGCTGTGGGAAGACAGAAGACAACGGGGCGGAGCTACATAAGGTCTACATTTACATTTATGTATTATAAAAAATGTAGTTTTCCAGACTCCACTCTCACTCCCTTGGTTTTCTGATTTAATTCTTTACCTTAAGTTTTCTTTAACAATAATGTACTACATCAGGGGTGCCCAAACTCGGTCCTGGAAGGCCGGTGTCCTGCAGAGTTTAGCTCCAACTTGCCTCAACACACCTGCTGGTAAGTTTCTAGTATGCCTATAAGAGCTTGATTAGCTGGTTCAGGTGTGTTTAATTGGGGTTGGAGATAACTCTGCAGGACACCGGCCCTCCAGGACCGAGTTTGGGCACCCCTGTACTAGATGCACAAACTTTCTGCTGCCATTTACATTGAATGAGAGCTTATTCGCCAATAAATGTTGTAGATGTAATAGCTTTTTTGATAGAAATGCAATCTTTGGGCATATCTGACACTATCTGGATTTCAACTGAGCATGAATTTGGCACACTTTGGGAACACTGCTTTTCTCTGTGATAACTTAGACCTTTTGCTGAGGTGAAGCTGCTTCCACATTGAGCGCAGGTGTATGGCTTCTCTCCCGTATGCAGTCTTACATGTTCTCCCAGGTTTGCTTTCTTACTGAAACTCTTTCCACAATATAAGCACATGTACGGCCGTTCTCCCGTATGGACTTTTTGGTGTTTCATCAAATAGTTGGCTGTAGTAAAGGCTCTCCCACACTCTGAGCAAACATGGGTTTTCACACCCTCATGTATTTTCTGGTGTGCTTTGAAACACAGGAGCCATAAAAAACTTTTTCCGCAAAACGAACAGACAAAAGGTTTCTCGTTTTGATGAATTTTCAAGTGTCTCTTTAGGTATGACTCTAAAACAAACGTTTTATTGCAGTGCTCACAGGTAAACTCCCTTTCTTCTGAGTGAGAGTGGCGCATATGAATTTTCAGACAGCTTGCCCATGCAAAACCCTTTCCACACTGAAGGCATTTAAAAGGCTTCTCTTCAGTATGAATTCTCATGTGATATGTAACGTCTCGTTTACTGATGAAGCTCTTTCCACACTGAGAGCAGGCGAAAGGTCGCTCTCCGGTGTGGATTTTTATGTGTTCCTTAAGGTGTCCTTTATTCAGGAAACTCTTTCCGCACTGAAGGCATGTGTGAAGACGCTCTCCAGTGTGAATTTTGATGTGATCATTAAAGGATCGTTTATAACCGAAACTCTTTCCACATTGAGAGCAGGTGAAGGGTTTGCCTCTGTCGTGACTTAGTAAGTGACTTCGAAAGTGTTCGTTACGTTTGTACCTCTTTCCACACCGAGGACAGACGAAAGGCTTCTCTTCATTGTGAATTAGTATGTGATCATTAAGGTTTCTTCTGCGTGAGAATCTCCTTCCACACTGAGGGCAAGTGAACGGCTTCTCTCCGGTGTGAGTTAACATGTGATCGTTAAGGTGACCTCTATGGGCACAATGTTTTCCACACAGAGAGCAGGTGAAAGGCTTTTTGACTGTTGTTTGAGTGCTGCTTTGTGAGAAATTGTTTTCAGTTTGGGAGCAAGTCAATGATTTTTCTCCAGTGAGGACATCATGAGCTTTCTGATGCTGATGTTTCTCCTCCACTTCATTCAGAATGTGACTTTCCTCTTTCACGTCCACGAGGCCTGAAATGACAACAATAAATTACTGAAAATCAACACAAGCAGGACAAACAGGGAAAAAAACGGATTTATGCATTTTGTAGTCATTTATTTTCTTCATCAGATTTTTATATCAGCTCTAACTGGTTACAATCATGTTCCACAACAATTAAATAATAATAATAATCAACAATGGACACAAACCTTCTTGGTGCTCATTATCTATTCTGCAGGGCTCTGGATCACACGTGTCCTCACTCTCCTCCTTAATAAACATCATCTTTAAAAATGCATTTCACCTCGAGATATTCCTGTTTATTACGATTATAACCAGGATAAAGGCAATATCGCTAGTGTTTAAATGAATTAATTAGTGTCTTTCTGCTATGAAGTTAAAAGACGTCAGAAGGCAAAATTTGTATCATGGACACATAACCTCTCATTTATTGGGTTGCGTTGTTGACATCGTCTTATTCTTGTAATGTTGGCAAGTCACCTTTTGGCGCATTGCTGCCACTAACTGGACTGGAGGATGGAGTGTCAAAATGAAAGGAGGGAAAACTGTTCTTCCTTATCGTTTTTCTGTTCTTATTGTAGCCTGTCTATCTATCTATCCATCTATCTATCTATCCTAAGGGAAATTATTTTGCACAGAAAGAATTTGATGTTCTCCAAATGCACTGTGTACTTAAAAAATAAATAAACAAATACATTAAAAACTTTTAAAAGGTTTCATATGGACAGTAGCCTACAGCTTTTACAATATTGAATTGGCATTTATTCATTTTCTAATACTTTTAATTAAAAAATTTGTACTTTCATTTCTATTTAAAAATGATGGTGTTAAATTGTGGTTTGTGTGCATTGTCTCTCTTCTCTCTGTCCAGTTGCCCTCTCTCCGTTACGCCAGGTTCCTGCTCATAATTGACTGGAGAAGCGGATTGGCTTCTTCTGCGCCCTTGCATCTTTTAAAAGTCACATCCGTGCAAGATTGAGAGAGCTAATTGCACAAGTAAAAAGGCTATTAGAACTCATAATATTGTAAGGAGGTATGCTATTGTATAAAGTGAGGCCCTTATTTTGTTATTTTTTTTTGTTATATCCTCTGGCACAGTTTCATTAGTGTGGTTCATCTTTTTATGTTTTTTTTTCTTTTTACATCTGAATATTTCTCATGGTATTGTTCTGATTTATGGCATTAATAATAATTTAAAAAGGTACATGAAAGGACAGATAAGTTACCTGAAATGGTTTGATTGTTGTGTCAGGAATTTTCAAACACAACAATGGGGTCACATATTCTGATGCCCCCTTTAAATAGATTAGTAGCCTGTTTTTGTGACATCAGCTTCATGAACATTGTTAAACATTTATGTTGCATACAAAATGCAAACATAGGCCACTCTGCAAACCGCATTGTGTTTAATCTCATGAAATTTTGAACTGGTTTAATACGCCTGTTGAATAACCGGCATTTCTAAACAAACAATCCACTTTTTTCCCACAAAAAAAGTCACAGCCACATTAAAGTCACTTTCATTTTTATTTATTTAAGAAGCAGTTAAGATATTGTACAAACATATTCAGGAGAACATTCAAGAGGATATACAGTAGCCTACATAACACTTAAGGCTAAAACATAAGCTGAGGAAAAAATTTAATTGAAAAATAGAAGTATTAGAAAATGAATAAATAAATACTAATTATTTAATGTAACAGCAGTACTGTTCATATTAGACCAAAATTATTTCCTGGATATGCTATAAAATAGAGGAGGTTACACATTACGCAACCAGACTGTATTGACGCGCTCATACAATGTGAGTTGTTAGTCAGCGGTAGGGACTTTAGTTTATTCCAGTGACTCGAATCATTTCAACACGTTGACCACAAAGATTCATCTACTGATTCAATTTGCGTGTTATCGGTACATGGCGACAAATGTCTCTGTTATGAGCGAGTCATTAACTTGTTAAATATGTGCGAATACAGGTAGGTGAGTTATCATTTTTGTTAACTGCTGACCTTGGCTTCAGCTATCAAACTATAGAAAAAGACAACAGTAGTCTAAATAGAAACCTAATGTCTTTACATTTTTAGACATTGAGAATTAGATTTAAAGGGGTATAAAGGGATAGTTCCACAAAAATGAAAATGAAAATGTTGTCATTTACTCATCCTCATGTCCAAACCCATTAATGGTCGAAATACAAGTCAAAGGAGTAGTTCACTTCCAGAATACAAATGTCCTGATAATTCACTCACCCCATGTCATCCAAGATGTGTCTTTCTTTCTTCAGTCGAATAGAAATTAAGGTTTTTGAGGAAAACATTCCAGGATTTTTCTCCATATAATGGCTTCAATGGGGACCAACAGGTTGAAGGTCCAAACTGCAATTTTAATGCAGCTTCAAAGGAGGAATAAGGGTCTTTTCTAACGAAACGACCTGTCATTTTCTAAAAAAAAATGAAAAGAAAGAAAGAAAACAAAAATGTATAAACTTTTTAACCACAAATGCCTGTCTGGCACTAGCTCGACTTCACGCATTATGTAATCACGTTGGAAAGGTCACGCGTGGCGTAGGCAGAAGTACCGACCCAATGTTTCCAAAACAAGCGTGCAAGTTTAACTGTTTAACCGAAGCACTGGTGTGTTGTTGAAGCACCACTGGGGGGTTTCCACAGTACATCCTTTATCACTAGTACTGTTTGTTTCTACTGTAATCAGAGCTGGGAAATGAGGAGAGTCAGAGAGATGTGCAAATAAGCAGAACATACAGCTCTCAGCAAAGGAGGAAAATGGGAGATTACTAGAAGTGTCCATTAGGTGGCAGTACTCCCAGTGTTCAATCTGCCATTAAATCCCACTCGAAGAACAGTTTCCGGAAATACAAAATATACAAAAGCTGCGTCCCAAATGACGCACTCATACACTATGCACTTATCCACGTGTGTACTTATACTTTTGTACTCAACCATGTATAGTATGAATTATATAAAGTTATTTTGTCATTCATAAACGGAGTCTCATAGCCCCGCCCCCTTCGGTACGTAATTAAAGCTGCGACAATTGAGTGCATGAAGTATCCTAATTTTTTCGGTTATTTAAGTGCATCATCCGGGTATTTAAAGTGCACGTTTTCTTTTTGGAATTTTCAGTGTGAACGCACTACTCACACTATTTACTACAAAAGGTCATAGAATAGTGCATAAGATATGATGTCTGTTCAATATTTAAAATTGCATTGAAATTGAATAGAAATGCCAGTGTGCTCAGCGTATAAGTGCAAGAAGCGTTCAGATATAGGCTTAGATCTCTGCCACAATTCTGCGCACGAAAGATCCTATTTAGAGCGCACAAAAGTGCATTTTGCACGCGCGCGATCTGAGTTTTGTTGAGATAATGTTCGTTTCGCAAAGAAAAAAGTATTTCGAGCGCACGAAAATCATTTTTGAATTTAAAATACGTTTTTGGATGTGTGCAGACTTTCTCTTTTGCGCGTGCAACGTTTCACTAGCTTGCTCACCTGATGCCCGCCCTCAGTGCTCTCTAAATGCCAACAGCTCCTTGCTCAACACAACCCGGCCTTACAATTTGCCATAATTCCAGCCAATCAGAGACGAGGCTGCTAAATTCTGATTGGCTGCCTTGACAACCATTCACAACACTTCTTGCATTACCACAACAGCAGAAGAGGGAAAATACAGTGCATGCATAATTATTATGCAAGTTGATATTCTGATTATATTTTTTTCCAAGCACATTTTATATTTGTAAAAGGCATTTCCAAATAATGCAGAATTATTGGCTTTCCTTTTCAGCTTTTGTCATGTTAATAATTTTGTAATTATTTTCTATATACATGATGCAGTTTATGGTAATATTAATAAACTAAATATATGATTATATATCGATTTTTTGTGTTAGGATACAATAGATTTCGTGCTCTGTTGCAGGGTTTCCCAAACTGGAGTTTGTGAGAGAACTGCATATAAAGCTGATATAAAGGTTTGATATAAAGCTAATAATTACTTGAATCATAAAAAAAGAAAACTTAAAATAATTTTTAAATTAACTAACATCAGAGAACTGTGAACATGCAAATGCACTGTTAAATGATTGAAATATTAACTTAAAATCTCAGGGGGTACTTCAAGAAGGTACTTCAGGAATCCCTGCTCTACTGGGACACCACTTAATATTCAGTGTAAAATCTGGGTCCTCAGATCATCCGTTGTTTTAAAGCTCGATTAGTAAGTCTTTTCATCTTTTATTATTATTTGTAAACCCACTATTGGTTTATTTGTGTGTTTCAGAATCGTAAGGCAGTTTAAGTTTCTATCAAACCAAAACCAACCCCAGTGTCAGCACCAGAAACACCACAGTAATGTGTTTGTTAGCCTATAACAATTTTCTGCCAAATAAGTCATTTTCTCTTGTTGTTTTACTACTTAATATCTCCTGTTCATGGGTTTGACAGGCTTGAGGGGAAGTTTGTTCGTGTGCCTTTGGATGCTGATGGGTCCAGCCGTGGTCCCTTGCACGCTGGCAGCTTCCATGATGACTACTGCAATTGTTGATTTTTGGCTTCCTTTTGTAGAACATCTCATACACTTGTACATATTACACCACTCAATTGGTTTTCACAGAGCTTTTACTGGATGAAGCTTTTGGAGGGTGATGATGAGGCTGATGATGATGCTAGTGTCTGTAGACCTTTACATTATTTCAATCTGTAAATGTAAAAACTTAAGCCTTACAGATCTGGAAATAGTCTCCTGAATGGTGTTTTTCATTTGATTCTTTATATGTATGTGTAGGATCCCGGAAATGATGTCGCCTATGATGATGCACCTCTTGAAACACCTGACAATCCAAACACTGACCATCCAAAAGTTAATCAGGGTATGCCTTTTACAGATTTGTCCTTTTCAGTCCTCTTTAACAGTGGTGATTTCTGTGTGAAGACATAAAATAGTAGCCATAATAGTTATGAAAGTGAAATGTCATTTAAAATGTGGCGTAACATAGTTTTACCCGTAACTTCTGATCTTCTTTTGGCTTAATGTTTCCACTTTCTAGGTGACAGAGAGATAGCAGTGACTGAGTATAGATGTAACAGGGCCATTTCAAGAAAGTAAAGGCCCCTATAGCCACATCATGGTCATCTGTGATAATTACACCAAGTGGATTGAAATCTTTCCATCAGAAAAGCCTAATTCTGATTCCATCGCCCTGCTCATGTGTGATGCCATTTCCCGATACGGTTTTCCTCTGGGATTTCTCACACCTTGGGGGGCTAGAGGGATTCAGGTCAGAACAGTAAGTCCTGCATTATGATTCTCACGGGGTAATATCAGAGCAATTAGTGCAGGTTTAATTATTTATAATCGCAACATTTTTCATTGAAATTTGCTGAAAGGTTTCTTAAATG